ACGTATATGTATGTTTGGACTGTTTACGGGTTAAAGTGCATGCTTTGTATCTCCCACCTCCAGGACTCAAGTCCAGCTAACTGGTTTCCCTGAATCCCTTCACAAAATATTACCCTGCTCTCACTCCAACAGCTCGTCAGGTCCCACAAACCATTCATCTCCATTCACTCCTGTCTAACATGCTCATGCATGCTTGCTGGAAGTTCAATCCCCTTACCCACAAAACCTCCTTTGCCCCCTCCCTCCAACCTCTCCTAGGATGCCCCCTACTCTGTCTTCCTTTCCCTACAGATTTATATGCTCTCCAAGTTATTCTACTTAGTTCCATTCTCTCTAAATGACCAAACCAATAAGATAGAGGTACAGGAGGGCCCTGCTTTGCAGTGCTTTGGTTTACAGCATTTCACTAATGCAACAGTTTTCAATTATATCCATTGTTCATTTATTCAGACTTCCTATAATAAATATATTCACCACTCACTATAAGCTAAGGATGAAAACATTTTAAGGTAAGTAATGTGTATACTGTATATGCATTTTTTAGGCCTAACTCTATTGAAAGTGAAAAAAAAAAAGCTGTTTCACTTTAGAGCGTTTTAATTTTACAGCAGTAGCCAGGAACCTAACCTGCTGTATAAGTGGGGCCCTCATGTATATACACCTACTATCTGACTTACGACCTGCTTGACATACGACCAATCGACTTACGACCACGTTTTTTTATGCCAAATTTCTGGTAAATAAACAACTGTTTGTGTTGTACACAGTGTCTATCCTAAACCTTATGGTATAAAATAGAGTACTAACAGCATAAAAAGTAAAGGAAAAAATGAAATACCAAAATAAAACAATAAAATAAAATCATTACAGAAGTGTGATGTTGATATTCAGTAGTAAGGTTCAACTTACATCCATTTTGACTTATGGCTAAATACTGTAAAGAGTTTTTATGAGGATAGTGAGGCTCAGGTTAGAGTGTGTAGAAGAGAGGGAGACTACTTCCCGGTAAAAGTAGGTCTTAGACAGGGATGTGTAATGTCACCATGGTTGTTTAATATACGTATTTATAGATGGGGTTGTAAAAGAAGTAAATGCTAGGGTGTTCGGGAGAGGGGTGGGATTAAATTATGGGGAATTAAATACAAAATGGGAATTGACACAGTTACTTTTTGCTGATGATACTGTGCTTATGGGAGATTCTAAAGAAAAATTGCAAAGGTTGGTGGACGAATTTGGGAGTGTGTGTAAAGGTAGAAAGTTGAAAGTGAATATAGAAAAGAGTAAGGTGATGAGAGTATCAAATGATTTAGATAAAGAAAAATTGGATATCAAATTGGGGAGGAGGAGTATGGAAGAAGTGAATGTTTTCAGATACGTATTTGGGAGTTGACGTGTCAGCGGATGGATTTATGGACGATGAGGCTAATCATAGAATTGATGAGGGAAAAAAGGTGAGTTGTGCATTGAGGTATATGTGGAGGCAAAAAATGTTATCTATGGAGGCAATGAAGGGAATGTATGAAAGTATAGTAGTACCAACACTCTTATATGGGTGTGAAGCTTGGGTTGTAAATGCTGCAGTGAGGAGGCGGTTGGAGGCAGTGGAGATGTCCTGTCTAAGGGCAATGTGTGGTGTAAATATTATGCAGAAAATTCGGAGTGTGGAAATTAGGAAAAGGTGTGGAGTTAATAAAAGTATTAGCCATAGGGCTGAAGAGGGTTTGTTGAGGTAGTTTGGTCATTTAGAGAGAATAGATCAAAGTAGAATGACATGGAGAGCGTATAAATCTGTAGGGGAAGGAAGGCGGGGTAGGGGTCGTCCTCGAAAAGGTTGGAGGGAGGGGGTAAAGGAAGTGTTGTGGGCGAGGGGTTTGGACTTCCAGCAAGCATACGTGAGCATGTTAGATAGGAGTGAATGGAGACGAATGGTATTTGGGACCTAATGAGCTGTTGGAGTGTGAGCAGGGTAATATTTAGTGAAGGGATTCAGGGAAACCGGTTATTTTATTAACCGGACTTGAGTCCTGGAAATGGGAAGCACAGTGCCTGCACTCAAAAGGAAGGGTTTGGGATATTGACAGTTTGGAGGGATATATTGTGTATTTTTATACGTATATACACCTACCATCCGACTTATGACCTGCTCAACTTACGACCGTGTTTTTTATGCCAAATTTCTGGGAAATAAACAACTATTTGTATTGTACACAGTGTTTATCCTAAACTTTACAGTATAAAATACAGTACTAACAGCATAAAAAGTAAAGTAAAACACGAAATACCAAAATAAAACAATAAAATAAAGCCATTACAAAAATGTTTTGTTTATATTTAGTAGTAAAGTTCGACTTAAGACCATTTCGACTTACGACCGGTTTCTCGGAACCGAACTCGGTCGTAAGTCGGATGGTAGGTGTACTTCTAAACTGTTGTATTCTGGGTACCTCTGCAAAAACAGTGATTATGTGTGAGTGAGGTGAAAGTGTTGAATGGTGATGAAAGTATTTTTCTTTTGGGTCACCCTGCCTCGGTGGGAGACGGCCGACTTGCTGAAAAAAAAAGTCTGTAGTTTTCCATGGGGAAGTGGAACAGAATTCTTCCTCCATAAGCCATGCGTGTCATAAGAGGTGACTAAAATGCCGGGAGCAAGGGGCTAGTAACCCCTTCTCCTGTACACATTACTAAATTTAAAGAGAAACTTTTGATTTTCTTTTTTAGGTCACCCTGCCTTGATGGGATATGTCCAGTTTGTTGAAAAAAAAAAATTCTGTAGTGGAGGAAAGTGAGGGGGGGGGGGTCATCCCAGGAAAGGATGGAGGGAGGGGGTAAAAGAGATTTTGTGTGCAAAGGGCCTGGACATGCAGCAGGCATGTGTGAATGTGTTAGATAGAAGCAAATGGAGATGAATGGTTTTTGGGGCCTGACGAGCTGTTGGAGTGTGAGCTGGGTAATATTTTGTGAAGGGATTCAGGGAAACCGGTTAGCCAGACTTGAGTCCTGGAGGTGGGAGGTACAGTGCATGCACTTTAAAGGAGGGGTTTGATATATTGGCCATTTGGAATAACATCTAATTGTCATACCTGGGCACCTCTGCAAAGACAGTATGTGTGAATGATGGTGAAAGTATTTCTTTCTATTTTTCGGGTCACCCTGCCTTGGTGGGAGATGGCCAACATGTTAAAAAAAAAAAAATTCTGTATCTGGTTTCCCTTCAAAAGGAATAATTACGTATATATATGTACATGTATTTTTTTTTTTTTTTGTTAAATTAACTTCATAGATTTACATTGCTGTATTGTTCTCTTTTGGAGTTCAAATAGAATAGTGAAGTACAGTGGACCCCCGCATAATGATTACCTCCAAATGCGACCAATTATGTAAGTGTATTTATGTAAGTGCGTTTGTACGTGTATGCTTGGGAGTCTGAAATGGACTAATCTACTTCACAATATTTCTTATGGAAACAAATTCGGTCAGTACTGGCACCTGAACATACTTCTGGAGTGAAAAAATATCATTAACCGGGGGTCCACTGTAGTGTATTACAAAACAAATATGCAACTACGTTTAAAGATTAAAAGCTATTGGCAGATTTATGCTAACAAGGATGTCAATAATGGTGAAAAAATTCTTAATAAATTCTTAATGTATTTATAGATGGGTTTGTAAAAGAAGTGAATGCTTGGGTGTTGGAGAGGGGTGGGATTAAATTATGGGGAATCAAATACAAAATGGGAATTGACACTTTAAAGGAGTGATTTGGGATATTGGCATTTTGGAGGATTATGTTGTATATCTTTATATGTATATGCATCTAAACTGTTGTATTCTGGGCACCTCTGCAAAAACAGTGATTATGTATGAGTGAGGTGAACGTGTTGAATGATGATGAAAATATTTTCTTTTTGGGGATTTTCTTTCGTTTTGGGTCACCCTGCCTCGGTGGGAGACGGCCAACTTGTTAAAAAAAATTCTTAATAAAATAATGATGATAGTAACAATGATTATGGGATAGGGGTTCATCCCAGGAACAATTAGAGGCAGGTAGTGAGTGTCCAGAGAGAACCAGGTTGTGTTGGTTCCTTGAGGGCAGTGTTCATGAAATGCCCACCTCAGAACTATGTCCAGGGAGGCCTAGAAAAAAATGTCATCACTAATGTTAACTGTAAAAACATACCTAGAATTGATCTGTTTTTGTTTACCCTGATCTTTCACTCATTTTGGTGCAAAACAGTGCTGCTTGCCACACCATGGAATATGTTATTCATTGGCTTTGTGGCTGTGAGGTACCCCTCTTCAATGACTGCCCAGGAAACTTCCCAGGCTTGAACCCTAATGAGAACCTCTGGGTTGAGATAGAGATCTACTGGGGAAAGGATATCAGCTCACTCGCATGGTTTTAGGACACGCTTGTGAGTCATGGGGATATATACCCCATGAAACTGAATGTGTGCTAATCACTTCCTAGATGGTTGAAGGATGTGCCAAAGCACAAGAAATGACCTATTTTGTAGTCATGATTTTAGAAAGGGGGAGGGGGTCAGAGTACTTTAATGATGAACACTGTAGTGGGTGAAGGATATTTTGAATGACTGGGGCTTGAGTAGCCAGGAGGAGCATTTTAGCATGCTGGATTGGAGTGAGATTTGTTGTGCACATAGTTAACATTTGTGTGTGCAAACTTCCATTTAAGAAATGATTCAGGGCAAAACCTGTCAGGTGAACACAAGTTCTGGAGGTAAGAAATGCAGTGCTTGCACTGTAAAGGATGAGTAAGGATGTAGTTCAGAGGGTTATTAAACTTTTGGTGTTTGTACACTTCTGGCGAATCTGGTTCCCTTTTTTGTTTCTTATTACCATAGTGGAAAATGGCTGATGTGATAAAAAAAAGGGGGGATGGGCTGGCTATTAATTACTTTGCTTCAATACTATACTTTTAGTGTATTTTAGTATCATTTTACTGTATTTAATATACAGGATATGTGTAATTTCACAAACAGGTTGCCCAGTCAGGAGTGTTATTGGAATTGGAAAAATCTACTTTATTAGAAGCCCTGACGTCAGATTTCCTACAAGCGGCAGAACTAGATGTACTACAAGCAACACTGCGCTGGGGAGAGCACCAGTTACTGAGACGTATGGAGGATAGAGGTGAGTTTCTTACTGTTCTTTGTCTTTATTTCTTAGCATGTATAGTATTCAGACCTTATCTTTTTGGACAAGTCTGTCAAAATGTGCAACAGTACCAGTGTTTGTAGAGCTCTTGTTAGCCATCATGTGACATAAAAGGAATAAGGTTTATAATTGTATTACTTTTATTGGGCGCTTTCCTCTGATGCTGTCATTAACCCTTTCAGGGTCCAGACCCCTAATCTGAGAATTGCTCTCAGAGTCCAAAAATTACAAAAAGAAAACAAATTCTTATGAAATGATAGAGAATCTTTTTCTGAAGGTAATGATACTAAAAGTGTGAAATTTGATGAATTACACTTTTGCACTTTAGCACTCTTGGTGATATTTGTGCATTTGATGATTTTGCATACTTTGAGTTCTATTTTAGGCCATTTCCATTGTTTCAGTATAGCAAACTCATAGTTATTTTGCTAGTATGTCTTTCATTTTATCAGTTGATTACAAGAAACTGCCCATTAAACTATTTCAACTACCCAATAAAGTGATCAGAATTGTGATGAATGGTTTGAAAAACCGACAACTGTCAGACACTGCAGCATCATGGGATCTTGTTACAAAGAATTCTTCAACACTTGTCCAACCTTTGGACGAAGACTTACTTCGACAAGTGGATGGGACCACTATGACCCCACCTCCTCCTGCTACGCCTCATCTGACTACAGTATATAAGCCACGTCTACGGCCCTATGCTGTACATTCTACAAGATTGATGGACTGAACACATCGTCTCCAGGCTGAGGGACTGATTACCTCAAATTCCTCCTCTCCTTACACCTTCTGCTTTGTATTGAACTGATGAAGCCACTGTGTGGCGAAACATTTCCTGAATAAAGATTCCCATATGTTGCATAAGTGTCTCAATCTTCATAGTGATCAGAAATCAGTAATTTGGCTAGTTTCACACAAAATTTAAAAATTGCCAATTTAAAATAGGGTCCAGAATAAATGTAGACATTCCTGGCATAAAAACATTTCCTCTGCTCATTAGTTATGTCTCCAAGTCTCTCCTATATTACACTTGCTTTCCAATTTGAATTTTTATTCACTCACAAAATAGAAGGTTTACCAGTATGCAGGGTACTGCATTAATGTAATAATTGTATAAATGGTATTGCATTCATGAACACGTATTAGACCAACCAGTTGGATGTGTATTGGACGAGTGACATAATTTGTGTTCTCTGGAATATTGGCAAAAATTTAACATTTCCACTATTTTGAACTCAATTTCAAACTATTTTCAGTCCTGAAACTAATCAAAACCATCTCTATTTCTGTAATATACAGTGGACCCCCGCATAACGATCACCTCCGAATGCGACCAATTATGTAAGTGTATTTATGTAAGTGTGTTTGTACGTGTATGTTTGGGGGTCTGAAATGGACTAATCTATTTCACAATATTCCTTATGGGAACAAATTCGGTCAGTACTGGCACCTGAACATACTTCTGGAGTGAAAAAATATCGTTAACCGGGGGTCCACTGTATTAGCCATTCTATCCAGTGATAGAAAGAAACCGAGAATACAGCCATGAAAACCATCCGAAAATACACCGCAAAGTCACTATTTTAAGCCAAATTCACAGTCAGTTTTTTCTCCCATCATGCACTGCGTGGGGCAGGTTTTTTATATGGTGTACACTCACCACATAGGCTCATTCTCTCATATCTAGGCCCAAATTTACTTCTCACTGCTTATCTGAGTGAGCTGAGCTCATCGTGTAATTCTAGATCCTGAGCTCAAAGTTGTAGTGCTATGGTGCAGACCTTGAAAGGGTTAAGGAAGAATTTATGCAATAAAAAAAGTTATATATACTAGTGGATTAGAGATATTAATTGTGGTAAATAAAACAAGTTGTTTCATTGTTCATTTAAATTTATTATTTGTACAGAACCCAACTTAGTATCACAAACGGCCCACTCAGTAACTCGGAAAGGTCTCAGGAAGAGGGACATGAATGATGTTGAGCTACGAGAAATTCTTTCTGAACTCTTACCTCATGTGCGAATGGACCACGTACTACCTCCCAACCATGACATATTAACCCAGGTAGGTCCCATTCTTTACTTATATTGTATGCTCATAATTTTCTTCCAGTTGGGTTGAAAAATCTTCATGATAATCTCATAGTGACAGTTCTGCAAAACAGTAATTTTTATTACAATGAAGTATAAGTGAAGTACTGTATATAATTTTTTTAAGGTTGATGTCAATATCTGTACAGTACTAAATTTCATCTATTATATTGTCTGTAATTTAAAAAAATTCAATACCACCCATCTCCTACCAAGGTAAGATGGCCCAGAAAAAAAAAAACTATCACCCTCACTCACTTTATCACAGTCTTGCTAGATGCATGCTGACATTACAGCTTAGATGCCCTTCCAAACTTTTATATCTCTACCTCTCCTTCAGAGTCCAGCCATTGTACTTCCCACCTCCAGGACTTGAATCTGGCTAACTGGTTTCCCTGAATCCCTTCATAAAAGTTATCTTGCTCACACTTCAGTATCTCTTCGTCATTAAAAACCACTTGCCTCCACACATATCTGACAGTACACAAATAACCCACGCTTAGGAGACTGAAACTTTTGATGATGTTTCAGTCTGATTTGGACCATTAACTGGTCCAAGTATTGTGTATTGTTCCAGTCATGATATTGTGCTTTTTTTATTCTTTCCTATCTAACGAGCTCGCACATGCCTATTAGATGTCCATGCCCCTTGCATGCAAAACATTCTTTACCCCCTCCCTCCAACTTTTCCCAGGACAGCCTCTACCCCTCTTTCCCTCCTCTACAGATTTATATACCCTCCAAGTTATCCTATTTTGCTCCATCCTCTCTTAATGTCCAAACCACCTCAAAACATTCTCAGCTCTCTGGATAATACTTGTTAGTAAACTTGCACTTCCTCTTAATCTCCAAATTACAAATCCTCTACATAGTATTTACACAACACTTTGCCTTCAAATTCAATAAAAACTTCCTTACTTTTATCTAAATATTGTTTGCATATATGCTTCAATGTAAGCACTTGATCTGCACATCCCCTACCCTTCCTAAAGGTCCCTGTTTATCCACTATCTTGCTCTCTCTTACTCTTAATTCTTTCAATAATAACTCTACCATATGCTTCACCTGGTATACTCAGCAGGGTTTTTCCCTATAATTTTTCCTTTTTTTTTTTTTCCTTAATCTTTTCTGCATATTTTTCCCTAATCTTTTATGCAAAAGAACTATTCATGCTCTCTGCCAATCCCTTGGTACCTTCCCCTTTTCATACATTTACTGAACAAATGTACCAACCACTCCAAAACTATATCCCCACCTGCTTTTAACATTTTTGTCTTGATCCCATCAATTCCAGCTGCTTTACTTCCCTTTTATTCTATCCATTGCCTCCTGCACCTTCACCACACTCGCATCTGACTCTTCCTCGCTCCTAAAAGATGTTATACCTCCCTACCCAAGACAGAATGATTTGGAGGTCATGTAAATCAGTAGTCGAAGGAAGGCAGGGTTGAGGTCGTCCTAGGAAAGGTTGGAAAGAGGTGGGTAAAGGAGGTTTTGTGTGCAAGGGGCTTAGACTTCCAGCAAGAGTGTGTGAGTGTTAGATAGGAATGAGTGGAGGCAAATGGTTTTTATGACATGACATGCTGTTGGAGTGTGAGCAAGGTAACATTTATGAAAATATTCAGGGAAACCAGGTGGGAGGTACAATGTCTGCACTCTAATGGAGGGATACAGATATGTTGCAGTTTGTAAACTGTGGTATCGACATGCCTCTGGCAAGACAGTGATGGAGTGAGTGATGATGAAAGTGTTTCTTCTTTTTTGGTTCTCCCTGCCTCAGGGAAAATAGCTGATGTGTTAAAAGAAATAATCTTCCCAATACCTTTGACTCCACATCTAATAACTTCCCTCTGTTTTTAACTAAATTCATGTTCTTAGCCTTCTCAGCTTAACAACAAAAGATGTACTATTTTTACTGAAAATATTTTAAATTGGGATATATAGTACAATATTTGTCTTCAGGCTATAAAACGAGGATTGGTATCCACGCCTCCAAGCCATATGATTGGAGATGACACTACCAATTATCGGGTAAATGCATGGATAAGAAGTAAAAATAATGGCTTATTTGTTAAACCTCGACTTTTTACACCTTATGCAGAAGAAATTAAGGTTAGTGAATAAAAATTAATATTGGTGAATAATTTGCAGATAATCTTAGACTTGTCTTCAACATGGATGTAGTATCATTAACATGGTATTTCCCACTGGCCATATGAGTTTAGCACTTTTTTATATTTAATTTTAATAATATTGTCACTGAATTAGTTTATTGGTGTAACAGTCTGTGGTAGATGAGCAGACCGCTGGTGGGGTGGATGTGGTGCGGCTACAGTGCTACGTGTCTCACATCCCTGATGCCTTATATATGGTTGAGGACAATGCTCCACACCAGCCAAGTTTTGCTCCATCCACCACAGTAGATGTTGTAGCAGCTGCTATACCAGGTCAGTAGTCATTTTTTTTCCTGGTACTCCTTTTTTTTTTTTTTTTTTTTTTTTTTTTTTTTTTTTTTTTTTTTTTTTTTTTTTAACCTAGTAATTGCATTTTTCTCTATGTAATATTGTTATTAATCATAATATTAACCAATAAATTCTTTCATCTCATTTTCGTATTTTAGGAATATTTGTAAACATGTAGGCAGATGTTTCTGTTTAAGTGGTTAGGTGTTCCTGGCTCTACCATGAATTACATTTGCCAAGACTTTATACATTAATGGAATTTTTTCCTTAGATCTCCTTCTCAACATTCCACACTAGAAACAAGACAAATCAATTAAGCGAAAGTATAACAAACCAAAAGCTAACACTTTTCATGTATATAATGAAAAGTTTTACCACCATAACCTGAATTTAGTGGCCATGATGACTGAGAGTATAATAATAGCAGCATTCTAGTGAAGCTTGATTCATCATTACCTGGCTTTCTTAACTCTTACTTAGCACTTCCAGCCTATACAAGTCTTCTCCATAAGAGTGTCTTACCATGAAATCATATATATATATATATATATATACTTTTTTTTTTTTTTTTTTCTCCAACAAGTCAGTCGTCTCCCACCGAGGCAGGGTGACTCAAAAAAGAAAGAAAATCCCCAAAAAGAAAATACTTTCATCATCATCATCATCGGTGGGAGGCGGCCGACTTGTTGAAAAAAAAAAAAAAAAAAAAAATATATATATATATATATACAGTGGACCCCCGCATAACGATTACCTCCGAATGCGACCAATTATGTAAGTGTATTTATGTAAGTGCGTTTGTACGTGTATGTTTGGGGGTCTGAAATGGACTAATCTACTTCACAATATTTCTTATGGGAACAAATTCGGTCAGTACTGGCACCTGAACATACTTCTGGAGTGAAAAAATATCGTTAACCGGGGGTCCACTGTATATATGTATGTATGTATGTATGTATGTATGTATGTATGTATGTATGTATGTATGTATGTATGTATGTATGTATATATATATATATATATATTATATATATATATATATATATATATTTTTTTTTTTTTTTTTTTTTTTTCAACAAGTCCGGCCGTCTCCCACCGAGGCAGGGTGACCCAAAAAAGAAAGAAAATCCCCAAAAAGAAAATACTTTCATCATCATTCAAAAACTTTCACCACACTCGCACATTATCACTGTTTTTGCAGAGGTGCTCAGAATACAACAGTCTAGAAGCAAAAAATATAAAGATACACAACATATCCCTCCAAACTGCCAATATCCCAAACCCCTCCTTTAAAGTTTCAGCATTGTACTTCCCATTTCCAGGACTCAAGTCCGACTATATGAAAATAACCGGTTTCCCTGAATCCCTTCACTAAATATTACCCTGCTCACACGCCAACAGATCGTCAGGTCCCAAGTACCATTCGTCTCCATTCCACTCCTATCTAACCACGCTCCGCCGCTTGCTGGAAGTCCAAGCCCCTTACCACAAAACCTCTCCTTTTCCCCTCTCTCCAACCCTTTCGAGGAGACACCCCTACTACCCCGCCTTCCTCCTATAGATTTATATGTTTCCATGTCTTTCTTACTGTGATCATTCTCTCTAATGACCAAAAACACCTCAACAACCCCTCTTCTGCCTCTGATAAAATTTTATTAACTCCACACCTTCTCCTAATTTCCAACTCCGAATTTTCTGATAATATTTACACCACCATTGCCCTTAAACAGGAATCTCCGCTGCCTCCAAACCGCTCTACCTCGCTGCTGCATTTACCACCAAGCTTTCACACCCATATAAAGAGTGTTGGTACTACTTATACTTTCATACATATTCCCTTCATTGCTCATAGATAACGTTTTTTGACTCCACAATACCTCAACGCACACTCACCTTTTTTCCCTCTTCAATTCTATGATTAACCTATCCTTCATAATCCATCCGCCGGACACGGTCAACTCCCAAGTATCTGAAAACATTCATTTTCCAGACTCTCCTCCCCAATTGTATATCCAATTTTTCTTTATCTAAATCATTTGACACCCCTCATCACCTTAATCTTTTTCTATGTTCACTTTCAACTTTCTACCTTTACACACATTCCCAAACTCATCACTAACCTTTGCAATTTTTTCTTAGAATCTCCCATAAGCACGTATCATCAGCAAAAGTATCTGTGTTCAATTCCCTTTGAATTTGATCTCCCCATAATTTTAGTCCCACCCCTTCTCCAATCACCCTAGCTTTATTCCTTACAACCCCATCTATAAATTTATTAAACAAACCATGGTGACTTTACAATCCTGTCTTAGACCTACTTTTTCCGGGAAGTAGTCTCCCTCTCTTTACACACCTAACAATCTGAGCCTTCACTATCCTCATAAAAAACTCTTTACAGCATTTTATAAACTTACAAACCCTTATTCCATATACTTGCAACATCTTTGCCACATTGCTCTCTATCCACTCTATCTTATGCCTTTTATTAAATCCATAAATGCCATAAAAAAAACTTCCTCTATCTTATCTAAATTACTGGTTCAAATATATGCTTCTATGTAAAAACACCAGAATCTAACACATCCCCTACCCACCTTCTAAAACCTCTTGCTCATCCGCAATCCTACATTCTGTCTTACCTCTAATTCTTTCGATTATAACCCTTACCGTACACTTTTACTGGTATACTCAGTAAGCTTTATTTCCTTCTATAATTTTTACGGCTCTTTTGTCCCGTTCCCTTTATATAAAGGGGATATACATGCGCTCTGCCAATCCCTAGGTACCTTCCCTCTTTCATACATTTATTAACAAAAGTACAACACTCCAACAATATATCCCCCCCTGCTTTTAACATTTCTGTCATGTTCCCATCAGTTCCAGTGCTTTACCCCTTTCATTTACGTATGCCTCACGTACTCCCCCCATTCATTCTGCTCTTCTTCACTCCTAAAAGATGGTATACCTCTCCCCTGACCAGTGCATGAAATTACTGCCTCTGTTTCTTCCTTAACATTTAAAAGTTCCTCAAAAATATTTCGACATTACCCAATTACCTCCATCTCCCATCTACCTAACTCCCCCTAACTTGTTTTTAATGACAAATCCCTATTTTCCCTAGGCTTTCTTAACTTGTTTAACTCATCTTCCTAATTTTTTTTATTTTTCATTAAAATTTCTTGACAGTGCCTCTCCCACTCTATCATCTGCTCTCTTTTGCCCTCTCTTCACCATCTCTTTACCTTTCTTTTCACTCTCCATATACTCTGCTCTTCTTATAAACACTTTGCTTTTGTTAAAAACCTTCATGTAAGTACCTTTTTCTCTTTTATCACACCTTTACTTTCATCATTCCACCAATCCAATCCTCTTTCCTCCGACCCCACCTCTCCTATAACACAAACTTCTGCCCCACATTCTAATAATGCAATTTTAAAACTCTTCAACCCTCTTCAACCCCCCCACTACTCATCTTTGCACTAGCCCACCTTTCTGCCAAATTGTCGCTTATATCTCACCCGAACTTCCTCCTCCCTTAGTTTATACACTTTCACCTCCCTCTTACTTGTTGTTGCCACCTTCGCTTTTCCCATCTACCTTTTATCTAATGTAGCTACAACTAAAATATTGATGAGATATATCAGTTGCCCCTCTATAAACATGTTACATCCTGGAGCCTACCCATCCTACCTTTTATCCACCAATACATAATATAATAAAAATCTTTCATTACGTGCTACATCATACATTGTATATTTATTTACCTCTTTTTCATAAAATATGTATTACTTATTACCAAATTTCTTTCTACACATAGCTCAAATTAAAAGGTCCCCATTTACATTTACCCTGGCACCCCAAAATTTACCTAATCTCCCCTCCATAACATTTTACCACTTTAGCATTAAAATCCCCAACCACCATTACTCTCACACTTGATTCCAACTCCCCACGCATGCCCTCAACATTCCAAAATCTCTCTCTCTCCTCTACACCTTCTTCTTCTCCAGGTGCATACTGCTTATTATAACCACTTTTCTCTCCAATCTTAATTTTATCCACAGAATCCTTGAATTTATACATTTATAGTCCTCTTTTCTGCCATAGCTTATCCTGTCAACATTAGTGGCTACTCCTTCTTTAGCTCTAAACTCTATTTGGAAACCCCTGACCTAATCCCATTTATTCCTCTCACTGAAGACTCTCCCACCCCCTTCAGCTTTGTTTCATTAAAGCAGGACATCATGCTTCTTCTCATTCATAACTATCCACAATCATCTCTTTATCATCCTGCCCACACCATCACGCACATTCGACTTCCCACTTTGCCAATTTTCTTCTTTTATTCTTTGTAGTAATTCTTTACTGGATAAGGGTTACTAGACCATTGTTCCCGACATTTAGATTGACTTTTACAACACGCATGGCTTACGGAGGGAAAGATTCTTATTCCACTTCCCCATGGATATAAAAAGGAAAATTAATAAGACAAGAAACTATAGATTAAAAGTCAAGAAAACTCAGATGAGTGTGTTATAATAAATGTGTACATGTAGGTGTTGTGTGACCTAAGTGTAGGTAGTAGAAGTTGCAAGTCATGCCTTGTTATCTTGCATATTTTTGAGACAGACAAAAGACATCAGCAATCCTACCATCTTGTAAAACAATCACAGGCTCGTTTTCACTCACTTGGCAGGGACGGTAGTTCTCCCTGGGGGGTTGCTGTTCTACCAACCTACTACTATTATTATATATATATATATTTATAATTATATATATTTATATATATATATATATATATATATCATATATTTATATAGAAATTATATATATATATATATATTTATATATACACACACACACACACACCATATATATAATATACATATACAGGGGACCCCCGCATAGCGACTTATCCGTGCAGAGGGCTGGCTGTATGCGGAAATGTTCGCTATGTGAATGAATTTTTCCCCATAAGTAATAAT